ACGCCTCCAACCATACCAGTTAAATCTCGCAAGAACCACTGAAATTTTTTTAAAACCATTGTCATCACACCAGTTTAAAACATAAATTACAATGGAAAAAAAAAAGATGTGAACTCACCTGAAACGTTGCCCCAAAAACAGTAGGGGATTTCTCACCAACACCTATAGCACTTAGAAGAGCCTATATTTGTTTGAGCAGGTAAATTAACCTTTTGATATCATAAGTAACTCACAGTAATATTGATGTTCACTTACTTGTGTTGAGAGCATCATCCGCACATAGGTAGAAAGCCCCTGCATCAATCCAAATCAGCAACTGTAGCATTCAGTTCAGCATCATCAAAATTTAACGCTCAATATGCTCATCCTGCTTCAAATCATTCTTCTCAAACAGGCGATAAAGCACAAAGGCACCCTGCACCATGCAAATCACATATTCCAGTATGAACTACAGTCAAACCTCAGCCTAGTTTGTTCTTCCAACTACTCTTTTTTGTCGTCTTTACTCTTTCTCAGTTCTTCCAATACTTTCATTTTTTTTCAAAAGATCCTCTTGTGGCAAACAAATACGAATACCATAGATTAAAAAGAGGTGAATCAAATATGAATATCATTTTTAAATATGCCTTCATACCAAATATGAATACCATTTCTAAACATACTTATACATCAAATAAAATAATATAAATACTACTTAGGTATGCAATACTATTACCTTCAGATAAAGCAACATATTAAATAAATTTTCTATTCACACATGTATGTATCTGCTGCTAAGTTAGTAGCAACAATTGTCTCTACTACATCATCAATTATATGGTCCGTAGCTAGTTGTACATACTCATCACCGTCACCAAAAAACTATTCGAGTTCTTGCTCTTGGTATGGTTCATTCTCATATACTTCATCTTCCACTACTTCTTCTCCCATATCATATAGATCTCTTGGCTTTAGATGCATAGCAACACTCCACCCTTTATTGACAACATCATCCACATAGTACACCATTTGTGCTTGAGATGCTTCGATGTAAGGCTCATGTTCTTCACGTTCACCGGTATGAATTAATCTATCAAAATTAACACAATTTAAGTTCCAACGATCCTTTTTATACCCTCTATCTCGAGCAGTATCAGCCCATCTACATTTGAAAAGAACAACCTTGAATCGACCATAATAATTAATCTCAAGGATATCTTCTAACTTCCCATAATATGGTAACTCTGCTTGCCTTAAATTTCCGTCAATACTACTTGCAACACATGATGTTTTAGAAGTTAAGAAAACTCCACATATAAGACTTATACCGGGCGTCGGAACCAAAATCCGAGGCCGATACCATAGTCTTCTGATCAAATTTCTTTTTCATTTTCCTTAATTAATTCCAGAAAATAATTTCACACAAAAATTTATTTCTCGGGCTTGGGACCTCGGAATTCGATTCCGGGCATACGCCCAAGTCCCATATTTTTCTACGGACCCTCTGGGACCGTCAAATCACGGGTCCGGGTCCGTTTACCTAAAATGTTGACCGAAGTCAATATTAATCATATTAATATCAAAATTCATCATTTTTCTCACAGAATTCATATTTAAGCTTTCCGGCTACGCGTCCGGACTGCGCACGCAAGTCGAGGCAACCCTAAATGAGGTTTTCAAGGCCTCGGAGACACAGAATAAGTAAGGACACAAGTGATGACCCTTTGGGTCGTCACAACTCTGCCTTTACCAGAACTCTTGTTGTCCATCTTGATATTTCTCTCGAAAGTGAAACATACAATTGTTCGTGCAAGAAAATATACTGCGATAAATATAGTCCAATATTTACGATGTTTGTCCTGTGCTTTATTTATTATATTTGCAAAATAAAAACATACTAAAAATTATTTTCACACAAATTTAAAAGGATATCCTTAGTTTCGGAAGACGAAAGTTGAATTTAGGGATAAGAATATACTTAGAAGCACATTAACCAGTATCATAATTTTTGCATGTATGACGTTATTGTCAAAACTTTTATATATTATATGTGTGCTATTACATAAGCTATTCGGCGTATCTAAGTTTTTCAGTAGCATGACGGGCATATTTTTCTTCAAATCTAACCTATACACAATGGAAGATCAATTTTAACTTAGTCTATTAATATACTAACATTTTTACTTTGTGTTCTAACGCTCTTTTTATGGAATAAAATTATGTACCTTAAGATTTATTTTTTTATTTGAATAAGAATTTTACTCATATGATAAATTTAAAAAATAATTGAATTGGATTATCTTGCTAAATAATTAATTAAGAAAATTTATTATTTGATGTTAACATAAAAAATAATTTACTGTATGTTCATTCAAATCTTAATATTAGTTCATCTCTTGCTTTGAATATTTGATCTTAATTATAATTTTATCCACCATAAATTTTATTTTCAAAGAGTAAAATATTGATATGATATTTCACTTTTATATCTTTATGTTTGTAGAATCATAAGTGGTATTGACTCCTACCAACCATTTTTTCCTCTTTCTCACACATTTATATTCTTAAATTTTCTTAGTTGTTGTTTACAATTGGGTATTTTTCAATATATATACGAAAATTGATAAAAAAAAATTTATTTGAGTAGAAAAATAGTTCAAATATAATATAAAAATATATTATCGCGGGTGTATTTTTTTTCCAATTTCAACTCTTTATGCAGTCCATTTAACATTACTTTTATATTTTTCTTGGTATTGGACATTATGGAGTGGTAATGTATTGCCAATACAGAGGATTCTTATGAAATTAATTTTATTAAACCGTCCTACATTTTTTAATAATAATCTAATAGACAAAATTTTATTAATTTTAAAATCTTAAATATTAAAAATTAGCATATAAGGTATTATAGTCCAAAAAATAGGTTATTGCAGTTATGTACTATTCATATGAGTTCTTCCATGTAATAATGTAGGGCTATTTTGGTATATCAATATTGTATTTATGCTTTTATAATAATATATGCTCTCCTTTTTCTAAATAAATTTGGACAATATAATACCATTATCAAATTAAATTAGTAATAGGACATTATCATACGTTTTCAAATTAAATTAGTAATAGGAATTTTTAAGAAGTATATCCTAAAAGTAACAGGATTACTTTTGTTGAGCCACACCTCAACTTTTGTGATGACTCATTTTGCATTATTCTTTTGTTACCCAATGTCATGGTCCAACGCCAGTCACATTCTTTTTTTGCACCTAAAGGTTCACCATACTCGTGTGGTTAGATATTATATTTAGTATTTATGGATAGACATTTCGTATAATCTAATAAAAAATCTATGAGGAATAAATGAGATAGATGTCTATTTATTTTTTGCTAAAGATAAAGAGACGAATTATAAAAATGTACAAAGACAATAAATGAAAAACAAGCGAGCAAGACATAGAGAGATCATGAAAGACCTCATATCTTCTTTTTGTAGTTGAAGAAAGTGAGGAGAAAAAGATTACAAACTAGAAGGTATAGATATTGATGTAAATTGCATTAGTTCGTAGTTGTTTTAACTAAAATATGTAATTTGATTAAATTTTAAAGAAATAAGTTGAAAAAAATAACTAAAAATTTGCATGAGTCAAATTTACTAATTGAGAACATTGTGAGTGTGAATATCATTAGACTATTTCTTCTAAATTAGTAATCAAAATTTGTATCTTATTGTTATTGGTCTTCATGTCTTAAACTTTTAGGCTTTTATTATTTTGCTCTTTAAAAGTATTTTGTATATACACGAAGGAGTAATCTTTTAAATTATAGTGTTGATGAACTTTCTTGATTAATTACTTTTAGGCAGGTAAAATATATCTTCATATATTTTTAAAGAAATTATAATTTTCTAATTGTTTGAAAATTAAGACATTATAGTTGTATCTCACAACAACTTTATACTATCGTATTATTTATATTTGTAAAAACATACTAGATATGTTTGTATGAGTTCTTTATTTTCTTTTTAAATTTCTTAAACTTTAATAGACTTTCTATTTATGCGTAATTTTTTATTAAAAAATATTAAAGATATATGGGGCTTACACATCGTCCCGTAGTAAAATGGCTCGCCTCACACACCCGCCTTTGAAAATACTATTTGAACGTAGAACGCCTGCTATGATGAAAATAAAGAAAATTCGCATGCTAAGTATTGCAATTATCTATACCCCTTTAAAATTTAAATTATATCAAGCAAAATAAAAAAATTAAATATTTATGTAGATAATTAAACTACTTGGATGTCTCTCCTGCTGTCGTTCATCTGATGTGTCGTCGTTACCTATGAATGCAAATATTATTTATGGTTAACCTAAAGCATATTTTTTCATTTATAATAGGCCTCGTTGACCCTTCATTTTGTTCAGTGAGACTCAGTGAGTACCTGATGTATTCAATTCTCTATATATTTGTCTTCTTTTTGGGAGACAAGTATCACTTGTGACGGTGAGACTAGCTTGAATCACCGTTCATTCCTTGCTTTTGTTAACTTTTGTGATGGCTCATTTTGCATTATTCTTTTGTTACCAATGTCGTGGTCCAACGCCAGTCACATTCTTTTTTTGCACCTAAAGGTTCACGATACTCACATGGTTAGAAATTATGTTTAGTATTTATGGGTAGACATTTCGTATAATCTAATAAAAAACCTATGAGGAAGAAATGAAATAGATGTCTATTTATTTTTTGCTAAAGATAAAGAGACGAATTATAGAAATGTACAAAGACAATAAATGAAAAACTAGCGAGTAAGACATAGAGAGATCATGGAAGACCTCATATCTTCTTTTTGCAGTTGAAAAAAGGGAGAAGAAAAAGATTACAAACTAGAAGATATAGATATTGATGTAAATTGCATTAATTCGCAGTTGTTTTAACTAAAATACGTAATTTGATTAAATTTTAAAGAAATAAGATAGAAAAAATAACTAAAAATTTGCATGAGTCAAATCATTAATTTGTATCGAATTGCAACAATTTCTCAAACAGCTGAAATTGATATATTTGTGGAGGTTATCAAAAACCTTCACAAAAAACTGCCATAATAAGAAAAATTTGAGGAGGTTGGAACAAACGCCACGAATTAAATATATAGTAGGGGTCTTTTAGTAACCCTCACATTTAA